TTTCCCCCCATTTTTTACTCCTTTCACCACTATACAAATCTATAACTAGTTTTTATGGACTTATTTATTCTGGATATTGCATACAGAAGAAATCATAGAAGATGCCCTTTTGTGTCTTCCATCTAGCATGATGTTTTGGTGGCTCTGAGAATTTTGGTCTCCTGGAGACATTTAAGCAATTTACATGTAATAGAAGTTGAAAACATTTTAATATTTTAATTTGGATATAAAATTACCTCTGAAGGCTTCTGAATAGACTCCTTTTCCTGTTCAAAACAATGATAACATTTAAGGTTGTTATAGGAATCCTTAATATATTCAGAATTTGTCATATACTGTTCCATAATCGGAAGTTTACATCACCTCTAAGCTACAAAATCTTAGTTTCATTTATTTCCTAAAATGTTCTATTACAATCTCCATTCTTGGTTTTATTAACTACTTTGAATTCTTATATTCATAATTAATATTTATTGTTAATTATGCCATGTTGCTAATAATTATCCATTAAAGAAGCTACAAGTCTTCTTATAAGTTTTATTTGCAAAATGAAAAAAAATGAAGATCCCTAAATATATTCTTCTAGGGGTAACAGGAAGAAAACACAAAACCTACCCCATTTTTTGTCTCCTTCTTCAGACTGCCTAGGCTGCTGGACTTTTGCAGACTTGAAGTTCTAAAAAAAATAAAATAAAATAAATAATAATAATAATAATTAGGATTAATAATATGTGACTCTGATTCCTGTTTCTAAGTAGATCATCTTAAAAAGAAACGAAAATTGTGTGTGTGTGGGTTGAATCTTGAAAATAAAAGAAAATCTGGAATCAGTCACTTACATACTTAACTAAATTATAACATTTAGTTCTTTTGAAAGCAAGGGTGGTTAATTATCCTGCCAATCTCTCTAAATGTCTCTTACATGTTAGAATAGCTGGAAAAGCACTTAGGTCTCTCCTTACAATGTCAACATTTTAAAACAAGCCAGTGTTTTCCATGGACTAATGGTGCATCCTTTGCATGTATACATTTTTATCAGGAAATTTAAATACCCATATACGATTTATATCTAATTCTTTTAATAAAATCAAGAATGACAATTTTATTTTCCAATTCACAAAGGAATTGTTTTTTTTTTTGAGCCTGGCAAAGCAATTTGTTTTATAGTTTGACCCAAGCAAAAGGAAAGAATCCCTATTGCTGACCATAATAATTCATTAGCTATCCTAGGGAAGACAAAATGATACTATAAATATTCAAAAGAGATTTTCTCTTTCACATTATTAGCATTCAGTAAACAGATATGGAAATGGACTTTCTCACAAACTAAAAGTAGGAATATATGACCAGTTTAGAAAAAAAGGGGCTGGGGATGTAGCTTAGTGGTACAGTTCTTGTTTAGCATGCATGAAGCTTTAGATTTGAGCACCAGTATTACCAAAAGGAGAAAAGAAGAGAGAAAGGGAGAGACAGAGAGAAGGAAAAAAAAAAAAAGGAATGCATTTGCTCTAAAAATTATAAATATGCAAACTTTAAAAGCATTTCTTCTGTATTTATGTGTATGTAAATTGCTAGAAATGTTGACTACCAACTAAAGTAAAAGATAATGGCAAAACAGAAATGATCTCATCTTTGAGTACTGCTCTATAAAAAGGATTTCCTAATTTAATTCAGACTGCAACTTGGATAAATATTCATATTAGGTCATATAAGTGAAAATACAAAAAATTTACAAATGAAACAAAACCCAGAAAACAACAACAACCTAAACTATTTCAACTTTTCCAGTCATCACAACACTCTGTGGGATGTTTTGCTGCTGGAATCAAAAGTATAAGTCAGTACAAAAAAGAATTAAAAGCACTGAAGTTCAAATAAATACTAATAAAGGATAAAGATCTGCAAAAACAGGGCACAAGCTGATGGTAAAAGAGTGTCTCTGTAAACTTATAACCCTGCACTCCCACCCAGT